GATGTTGGTGAGTCTACTGTTCATGTATCATATGATGGTTGACGACTGCTCTTTTAATCAAGTCAACACATACGTAGAATCGTCTGATATCAGATAGTCGTTGGAGCAAGTTCAATACTAGCACTAGTGGAGAGTTAATATTGGAAGGAATGGAATTATATTTGAATGGAATGATTGTAAATTGGGTTGAGTAAGATTTACATTTGAATACAAATTTCGAATATGAGAGATGCAAATGCTTGTTGAGATAATACCGTCCGTAGATGGTTTCCTTAAATAAGAATATCAAATCTGAGATGGGAATGAACTTGGCAAGGTTGGAAATAATAGATCCAAATTGAATTGAAAACTTAGTCAGATTCTGATGCAAGAGTAACAATGAATACACCCTTTTCAATATTGTATAAGGTAAAGGCAAAACAACCCCACCATTCCAATCCTTTTTGCCAAAAGATACTCCAGCATCTATTCCAAAACATTCCAAAATATATTAGAAATGTACTTTGTATGACATTGAAATAATACAATGCAACTTACCTATTTCTTGAAATAGTACCAGACCAATCGAGAGTATAGATATTCTCAAAGTTATTGAACAAGTTACTTCTCAATTTCTTGACAGCCAATTCAAAATTCTTTTCATGACCCTTCCTAACATAGTTACTACTTGGAGGTCTTGAGCAAAATGTAAAAATGTCACACATTTTGTAATCTTCCACTCTTTCCTCATGTGGCTTATTGGAAATCAAGTGGTATTTCAATGATTTCTCTCCATATGGATTCCATTTAGCATCTTTTAGTTTGAAAGATATTTCACATGGAGGATTATATTTGATATTCTCGATAGTCTCCACATAGGCATATTCCTCATCATCACTGCTACTACTCTCATACTCTCCATCTATGTAAATTTCCTCCTCATCGCTAGATCCCTCCAATTCATCATTTGGATGCACTGGACGATTACACATCCAGAGGAGTAATTTTCCAGGTGAAACTTTTAGCTCTGCAATTTCATTTTCAATTTCACTATTACAATTATTAGAATTGGAATAAGCTTGATTCCATTCACCATCCATTCTGATTTGAATCCCATGACAATCCAATACTGGAAATAGAGAAGAAATGAGTAAATACTTGTGGAATGGCACTTTGTGAATTTTCTCACACTCCTTGATGTGTAAATTTCTCATCAATATCTGTAACAATTCACATGGTTTAAACATGCTCACTCTAACAAAACCTCCCAATCCCAAATATCTTTTAAAATCAGAATC